ATTAAATATATATTACTATACTAGTCTTTTTATTAACGATGTAGCTGTATCGATAATAAGTAAAATGGTCATAACTGGCATATGAAAACCGATTTTTGTTTGTAATTGATGCCGAAAGTAGTTGATGCTGAAATTCTATCAGATGATTCATATTATGTTTAGTATTAGTGTATTGTATGAGTACATTAAATGAAACCAGATTTTCGATAATTATGTATTTAAAAAGTTATAGGTTACTATTATTTTATAGTGTCAAATAGAGATGGACAGAGATATCAATGCAGCAAGAAATATCCTTCTTAGATACTTAACTCTCTCATGTGCTTTCTCTGCATATAGATATGTCATTTAAGTGATATATTTAATTTATTTTAATTCCTAATAGGATGAGTGCATTATATAGAAAAAGCAAACTATTGATAAAATATGCACTGGCACTTTTAGAAATTAACCACCCTTTGTTGTTCTCGTTTATAATTGTGTATTTTGTTCATTTCTACGACCTGCTTGAAATATATGAATTAACTAAAGGAGAAAATCAATCGTATTTAATTAATTTAAGATATGCGCATCATGCTTAATGAAATTTACCAATAGTATTTATTAGTGGGTACAGTAATTGTCATTAGATAATACCTGTTATGATATTGGCTACGTAATGAAAATTACCAAGTAAAAAATGATACAAAGAGTAAACCTGCATATTAAATTTTTTTCACTCTCTGTAAAGTATTTTTGTTATTTTTTTTGTTACTAAATATGCCCAAATTTTCTATTAGGTTATTTATCGTTATATTATAATCATTATTAATCAATTTCGTGAAATGAAACATATTTTAAAGACAACAACGATTAATTTTCATGGCAAAGAAGTTTTGGAGGATTTACCGGTAAATTACGCATTTCAAAATAATAATAAACCCAAAATAATGATTTAAGAGATTTTTTTCTGTATTCCATTATCTTTCCTACCCAATCTTTAAATTTAGCAATCACACCATCATTTTCATTTGTTTCCTTTCCATTTCGAAGTTGTTCAATTGCTTCGCTGATATTCTCTTCAGAAAAAGCATAGCCAAAGATTTGTAAAAAAGAGTCAAGGACTGAATAATCAACATTGTTCGAGAAAAAATCATTTTTTGAGTCTTCATCGCGAATAACGAGAATTTTTAATGTTATGAGAAGAGTTTTAAAATCGGCAGTCATTTCAATAGAAAAAGTAGTGAAGTAATTAATTTGTTTGCAAATGATATATTAACAAGTTGAATTATAAATAAATTATAAGGTTATTTTTTCTTTAATCTCTTGCCATGTTTTAATAAGTTGATCGTCATCTATACTGGAGAATCGGGTTTGTTCATCTTGATTATAATCTAGGATTTCAGCCTTTTTTTGAAAGTACGATGGTTTTTTTTTATTAAATTTATTTTTTAAATATAAATAAAGCATGGCATTATCGACAAAATTTGTATTATGTAGTCCTGAACGCATAATATTATATGGGCTTAAAAAAGTTAAGTCATCAGTATTAAAGTCACTTTGATCATCGAATATTAATATGTTTGCATCGCCAGTATTGTCATAACCTGTTATAAATCTTTCTATTCGTTGGATTTTTGTGATTTCTGGGTTTTTATGGGCTATTTGATGTAATTGACGGTCTAGAATTGTTTCTTCAGTACATCGGTGTAAGAGTTCAATATTGTTAATTATAAATTGTAACCGAGGTGATAAATTTGGATCCTGTAAAAAAGCATCACATGCTTCACGCCATGAATTGTATTCAGTTATTAGTTCATATGCAGTTATGACCATTTTACTTATTATCGATACAGCTACATCGTTAATAAAAAGACTAGTATAGTAATATATATTTAAT